GAATAGCCCAGGAGGAGGAGGAGAAGGAGGAGGAACAAGCGGAGTAGGAACGACTTGCGTCGATGCCAGGAGCCTGCGCCCTCCAACAAGAGGGGAAGGAACCACGTGTCAACGCCGTTTGACTTATCATCCCGATCCCCAATGGGCCAGGGCTCCTTAAACGCCAGCAGCATGCCCCCTCGAGACGGGGAGGGACGCCGCGAAACATGACGGAGACGCATCTCTTCCCACATTCAAGGGGTAGTTTGGACAGCGGGGCTAAAGTTAGGTCGGGCATGTCCTCCTACAGGCTGACTTTACAAGAATACTTGAAACCAGTCAAAAAGAATCAAACATAGCATTCGGGGGGTAATCTGGACAGATGGGGCCAACGTTTTGCCCACTTGGGATGAGGATAGGTCTGACGATGCTGACCGTGGGCCGCGGTCGCGGCATCTGGGCTGGGATGACGTGCCCTGCACGATGAGCGGGCGCACTCGTGTCGCGACAACTGAAGAGGAACTGGGACACACAAATGAATACACACAAATAACAGGATGTCCGATATGTTTCCATATTTTCTGGGTTCTTGTCTCCCCCCCCCCGCTTCCCATGTTTTCCCATCTTTTCCTGGGGGTCGGCGATTCATTGTGTCTGTGTGTTTTTTGTCCCTCCTGAACAACGTCGGCGCCGGTCCTTGACACCGCGTGGGGCTCGTGTGACCTCGGACGATCGCGGCCTGTCGATCGCGGCCTGCCCATCGCTTGGCGGCGCGCACAAGGGGGTTGGAGGGAGGGGGGAGGGCTTCTTCGAAGGAGGCTCCTCCTCCTCCTCCTCCTCCTCCTCCTCCTCCTCCTCCTCGTCCTCCTCCTCCTCCTCGTCCTCCTCCTCCTCCTCGTCCTCCTCCTCCTCGCACACAGCGCCCAGAGATCCTGCGTATCTCCTTGCCCTGGCGGCGCGCACAAGGGGGTGGAGGGAGGGGGAAGGGCTTCTCAGCAGGAGGCTGCTTCTTAGAAGGCGCCGGCCTCACATCTATAGATAAAGCTCGCGCAATTCTAAGAAGCAGGGGTGCTTCTAAGAAGCCCTCCCCCCTCCCCCCACCCCCCTCTGCGCGTGGCTGAATCGCGCAGGGGAAGCTGGCTGACACCCCGTCCCCCCCCCCGATGTGGGGAGCCGCCAACGGTGCCCATGGCCCAAATTGCCTCCAGCTTCTCGCTCCAATGTGGAGCCCTTCGGGCCCCCCTGGGCCTCGTGAGGGGTGCTCTCGAGGCCGTTGGGGCCTCCTTGGAAATCCTGGGGGCACCTTGGGCCAGGGGCACTTGTATCGGTGGCGAGCGAAAAGGGGAAGTGAGAAGTGGCGAGCGAGGGGGGGAAGTGAGAATGGGCGGGCCTTTTCAGAAGGCTCGGAAGTCCCCCGGCCTTCTGAGAACTTTCCTGAGCCTTCCCCGAAGACGCAGAAGACCTGACAGAAGACAAAACGCCTTCTGAGAACTCCGGCCGCCTTCTGCAAAAGCCTTTTCCATCTCACTTCCCCCCCCTGTCCGCCGCCGATTACAGCAACGCCTGCCGTTTTTTTGCTCCCACCGTACGTAAAAACCACATCCCGGACATAATTTCGAGCACCCGGAAAAAAGTCGAAAGAGTGTCGAAAGAGTGTCGGACGAAAGTCTCCCAGGGCCCGACACGTGAGAACCTCTGAGCTTCGTGTTGTTCTGGTGCTCGAAATTCTGTCTGGGGATCCGAGCTACAGTGGGCTGGGACATCATAATTGAGCAGGGGCCGACCGTCCCGGCATTCCTATAGTCCTACCACGAAATGTTTTTAGAACCCCCAAAACAAACCTATTCTTAGAACATAGACCCGGTGTGATAAAACAAAACAGACTCCGCCAGACATGTTCTAAGAACACTTCGTGGAAACCACAGAAAGCTCTTAAAACATTGTTTCGTAAAGCTATGGGCGAGCCAGGACGCTTCGCCACTGCTTGACAGAAACCTGGCGAGGCTTAGCGACCCTGGGGCACCGGCCCAGGTCGCGGCTGTGGTAGAAGTGCGGGTCGCGCGCGTCCACTGGGAAGGAGGGGGGGGTGCGCCGCAGGGGCCGGCGGGGGGAGGCGCGGAGGGCAGGCCGTGCCCAGGCGGCCCACCGCGCCGCGTCGGACGCCCCGGGCACGGCAGTCTTTGGTCTCGAGGTGAGCGCGCGCAGACCTCTGGCGGCCTGCTGCTGAAAAAACTAAATGGTTTCGAATGGCGAAATATATGATTTTGAGCGATGTGGACACACGCGCGGCGACGCGCGCATGAGCACGCGTAGTACGTGTTGCAAGAGGTTCTGACAGAAAACAATGTTTTCACCCAGCGCATGTGCAACGCACCATAGCACTTGACAGGGATGAGGAGGGAGGGAGCAGGAAATTACGTGGTGCAACCCAAGTGGTGCAACATGTGTGGTGCAAGCTGTGTCACAAGATTCGGGGTGCAACCTGTGCAGTGTAATCTGTGGGGTGCAATTTGCGTGGTGCAGTTAACCACCCACCCCTCAATTCCCGGTGGATAATAAAATTCGGAACCCCCGGGGGCAATAAGCGTTTTCCCGGCAAGTCGCAACATAAAAGGCTGTGAAGAGGATGGTGAAGATGTATATGCTGATGTTGGTGATGGTCATGACGATAATGATGAAGAACATGATGATGATGCTGCTGAGTTCGGGATGTGGAATCCCCACAGCCCAACCACACGTTTATGACTATTCGGAACTTTCCCCCGCGATAGTAAAGTTCGACGCGGCCGCGGTGGCGCTGATCGTTGCGGACTTCCCAGCGAGTCTCACGAGCCGCGCTGATGAGCGGGCACTTCAGTGCGAGTCGGTGGCTAGGGCGGGCGCGGTATCATGGGACGTCGACAGCGGCCGACGCGATGATGATTGCAGCGGTGCTCGCGACGACGACGACGATGACGACAGCAGGGCAAATTTCAGCGCCGATGCTGATCACGCCGACGACGGTCACGTTGTCCTCGCGCCGGTGATGACATGCGGCGCGCGGCCGACTGGCGCGCGCGGCCGACATGGAGTCCGACACGCGCGCGAGGGCGACTGGCGTGAGTGGCATGCATGGTCTTATTTGACAGGGATCGTGCCCGCCCATCACGCGCGCAAGCGTGTTCGAATGAATTTGCCACGCGCGCACGAAAGGCTCGATTGGTCGTATTTGGTATGTAGGTTACATTGGGGATTCACAAGAGCGAGCGCAGATGTGTTTCAATACGTGACGTTGCAAAACCAATTGTCTCTAGCATGCGCGCGCGAAGACGCACGCGTGTGCACTGCGTTCCATCTGCTGCAGGGGATTATTTTGAAAATCGATGACTGTTGATCAACCAATGTGCGCGCATAGAGCTATATAGTCTTTTTGCAGAGAATGGTAAATCGGGTCGAAACCAGCTGAGCTGGAATGGTCCGACCTCATACTTAGAATGGGCGATAGCGCAGAGACATGCGTAAATTGCACATCCCCAAGCCGGGAAGATAATCCCAGGGAGGATGATCCGAATTCTTTTGAACTAACTGTCGACATCCGCGCGCGACCAATCACCTCTCAAGCTCGAGCAAACACCTCACCCGTCCACCTGCAACTTGTTGGGAAAACTCGAGGGATCGTGAGTTAAGTCATCCATCGGAGAACTTGCTCGCAAATCTCAAAGGCGCAAGGACGCGCGGACTCTGCTCATGCAGATCCACTACTCGGACGGGCGAATGATGATGACGACGGCGACACGAACAACGACGACGATGACTATGATGATAGTGATGCTGATGGTGCTGGTGATGATGACGAGGATCTGCGCGCGCGCGGAGACCCTGGCAGACCTTTTTAATGAAAACGAGCGTGCTCCCATATGTCGCTGAACACGTCTGATCTGAACTGTTTCGGGAAGCAAAGGTTGGTGCAATGATTTCGGCATGCAGAGAGGGGGCCCGACCACAAGAAACCGTTCACAAAAACCCAACCCTGAGACCCCAAGACGTTCGTCGATGCTTGCTGTGGGAACGTCGCGCTTCCCACAGCAAAACCATCGAAACCCAAGAAACCCAGGGCACCCTGGAGGCAAGCAGGGTGTTTCTTGGCATGGGCCTGCACTGCGCGCGCGTGTGGCCCGCATGGTTGTTGTTGCCAGGGGTGGTGAGGAGACAACACCCAAGTGGATGCCCAGGTCATCGCTCGGACGTCTATTCCCTGTGTTTGTTTTTCAGTTTCGTGCGTGTTTGTTTCGCCAACTTATCAAGGATGCTCCTCAATGGCCCTCGCGATGCCAGGGTCATATAGGTGTGGTCTATATATATACACACATACAGCATTGGATGAGGATGGGCATCACCCCACAGGGGTCACCACATGGAAGCGTACTTCCTGATGGACGCTTCAGGAGTCGCTGAATGGGGCCCCTGGAGGTCGTGCAGGTCAGCCACGAGGAGGACCCAACGCAGCCTGAGAGGGATGCCCGAGAGCCCCTAAGAGCCTTGCAACACCATGCTGGGAGTCTCGTTGGACGCCTTTGGGGGACGCTCTTGGAGAGCTATTGGGAGCTTCTGGGGGGTGGGGCCTCTCCAACTTTCGTTGGGAGTCTCCTGGTGGCCTCGGCTCTTGGCATCTGGGCTCGAAATGTCGGTTTGGATCACCGCGCTTGCCCCTGTCTTGGGGCGGCCTCGTGTGCCGTCTTGGGGCGGCCTCTTGGGCCGTCTTGGCGCTCTCCTGGGTCGTAGTCGGGCCGTCGCGGGGACCTCTTGGGCTGTCTTGGTGCTGTACTGGGGACTTCGTGGGCCGTCTTGGAACGTTGGAAAGCCCAGCATGAGATAGGCAGGGAGAGGAAGGCGTACAGGAGAGACGAGGAGGGAGGGAAACTGACGCAGCAAAGAAGAAAGAAGAACAGAAGACAAATAATGATGTACATCGGGAAACGGAGACGAACCAAGAACATAAAAGGGATCAAGACGAATCGATCGCGAAGGATTGTGAACATGGAGGCGCCCTTGGAGGCACGCCAAAGCCTTGGACAGGAGGACACGGAGGGGTGGGGGTCGACCTTGAATTTACTCGAGACGTACACAACCCCTTCTCCACTGCACACAAAAGAACACATCGCCACATATGCACGATCTGCGCTGCCCTGACCTCCGCCGTACCCTCTGCTCCGCTGCTTCCCACCAAACTGGCGACATTTGCGCAATTCGTAGCCTCCCAGGGAGCCGCGAGGTCTCGGCTGGATCCGCGCGACCCCTGACTCCGCTGGACATCCCATGAGCCCACCAAAATCGCAACACTTGCGCAAATCGCAACCTCCCAAAGAGCTGCGAGGTCTCGGGTACTCCCCTACTCCACCGCGTCTCCCAGGAGCCCACGCAAGTGGTGACAGTTGCGCAGTTCGCAGCCACCTAGGGAGCAGCGCAAGAGGAGGGGGGGAGGAGGGGGAAGGAGGAGAGGACGCAAGTGAGCGACCGCAGTGCCCTAGTCAAAACGAAAAGCCAAAACAGGGGGGTGGGAAAACAAGGATTTGAAGGAATTCCTGCTTTTTCAAGCTGCACCTCCTACCACCTTGGTTCTTCATGAATCTGTTCAGGGCGTTGTTTTGTGTACACTTTTTTAATTGGCGCGTTGGCGTGTTAGCTACATTGTTGGCGCTTGCAGATCCGTGGGATGCATTGCTTAACATTCCCGTGACCACCAACGCGGATGGGCCCGATGGCCGGTTGCCCCTCCTGGGGCTATCGGGCCTCTGGGCCCGTTTTGGGCCGGTGCTAGACCTGTATTAGACTGTTGCTTAGCGTCTTTACCTCCGAGAGGGAAAAAAGGCAGCGGGAACGAAAAAACGAGAGCGGAGACAGTAGGGAAGACAAGGAGCAGCCTTCGACCAGAAACCGAACAACGCTCAACACATGATGATCCACAACGAGGGGCCCAAAAACGCGATCACGGAGCTGAACACGCTACACCACCGCCGAGTGGCTTGTCGAGAAGCCCGAATACAAACCTCATTTTTGTTTCAGCAAGGCTACCACCACTTCGTGGGGCAGGATGCCGGGAGAGGGAGGCGGAGGGAGGACGGAGCGAAGGAGAGATGGGGATGAGGGAGGGGGGGCACGGACACGCAGGGGGGAGGCGGACAGAGGAAGGCGTGAAGGGGGAGACGAGGAAGGAGGAGGGAAACGCAGCGGGGAGAAGGGAGGAGGGGAACGAGAAAGATGTGGAGCAGGAGAATGGAGGAGAACCAAGAACCGGAGAGAGAACACAATTATTCACTGCGTGGAGCTCCCCATATGCCCATATGTGCATCTCATGTTTTCTGTCATGCCATAGCGAGCGTCTCTTCATGAACGCTTGACTATAGTAGCGCGTCCACGTGGGCGACAGGGCCGACGAAGACGAGTGAATCCTAATGCGAGTGAGTGAGTCTAAGTCAGCGTGAGCTTTGAGTATGATTGAATATGAACCCCCCATTCATTCCCCCCCTCCTCAAACTTGCCGAGAACGAGCCCGTGAAAACACCCCTGGCGGCTCCCCCGAGGGAAGCTGAAACCAGCGCCCCGCCTGAGACATCCTCAAGACCTGGTCTTAAAGCAAACAATGTTGGGCATGCAAACAAGCAAACCGCCTGAGACATCCCGACAAACTGGCCGCGAGCGTGCCCGTGTCCTACCCCCTGGCGGCTCCTTTAAGGATGCTGAAACCAGCGCCCCGCCTGGGACATCCTCAAAATCTGATCTGAAAGCCAAGGATGTTGGGCATGACAACCAGCAAACCGACCGAGACATCCCCACAAACTGGCCGCGAACGGGCCCGTAAAAACACAACTGGCGGCTCCTTTTAGGGGTGCTGAAACCAGCGCACCGCCTGAGACATCCTCACAAACTGCTCTAAACGCAGACGAGTCTGCCCACCAAAACAGCCAAACCGCTTGAGACATCCCCACAAACTGGCCGCGAACGGGCTCGTGAAAACACCCCTGGCGGCTCCCCTTAGGGAAGCTGAAACCAGCGCCCCGCCTGAGACATCCTCAAATTCTGCCCTGAAAGCCAAGCATGTTGGGCATGACAACGAACAAACCGCCTGAGACATCTCCACAAACTGGCCGTGAACGGGCTCGTGAGAACACCCCTGGCGGCGCCCCTTAGGGGTGCTGAAACCAGCGCCCCGCCTGAGACATCCTCACAATCTGTTTGACAACCAAGGAGGTTGGGCATGAAAACAAACAAACCGCTTGAGACATCCACACAAACTGGCCGCGAACGTGCCCGTGTCCTACCCCCTGGCGGCTCCCTTTAGGGGGTACTGAAACCAGCGCCCCCCCCGAGACATCCTCAAAATCTGATCTGAACGCCAAGGATGTTGGGCATGACGACGAACAAACCGCCTGAGACATCCCCAGAAACTGGCCGCGAACGGGCTCGTGAAAACACAACTGGCGGCTCCTTTTAGGGGTGTTGAAACCAGCGCACCGCCTGAGACATCCTCACAAACTGTTCTAAACGTAGTGGGGTCTGCCCACCAAAACAGCCAAACCGCTTGAGACATCCCCACAAACTGGCCGCGAACGGGCCCGTGAAAACACCCCTGGCGGCTCCCCCTAAGGTGCTGAAACCAGTCTCGCCTGAACAAACTGTTCTAAACGCAAACGAGCCTGCCCACCAAAACAGCCAAACCGCATGAGACATCCCCACAAACTGGCCGTGAACGGGCTCGTGAAAACACCCCTGGCGGCGCCCCTTAGGGGTGCTGAAACCAGCGCCCCGCCTGAGACATCCTCACTAACTGCTCTAAACGCAGACGAGTCTGCCCACCAAAGCAGCCAAACCGCCTGAGACATCCCCACAAACTGGCCGCGAACGGGCTCGTGAAACCACCTCTGGCGGCTCCCCTTTGGGGTGCTGAAACCAACGCCTGAGACATACTCCGAATCTTCTGTGTGTTGAATAAGTCTGCGTATGAGTAAGTCTGACTATGATAAGGTCTGAATATGAGTAAATCTGTGTATGAGTAAGTATGTGTATGAGTACGTCTGGGTGTGAGTCAGTATGGGTATGAGTAAGTCTGTATATGAGTAAGTATGTGTATGTGTACGTCTGGGTATGAATACGTCTGGGTATGAGTAGGTATGAGTATGAGTATGTCTGAGTATGAGTAAGTCTGTGTGAGTAAGTCTGGGTATGACAAAATCTGAGTATGAATAAGTCCGAGAGGAGGGGAGGAGAAGAAGAAGGAGTAGGAAACGTCCAATAATAACAAAAATCCGGGGAATACGAACGGGCAACGAATGATGAGGGAAACGGAAACGCACTCTGGTGCACGTCAAAGCCTGGGACATGAGGGAACGGAGGAGGGGAGCGACCCTGAACAACCAAAAAACTTGAAGGATGACATGTGTTACAGTTGGCCCCTGCCCGGAGGCGCCCGCGAGCACCCAAGATCGCCCCAAGAGGCCTCCAAGAGGCCTCCAAGAGGCCTCCAAGAGTCCCCCAGAAGATCCCGGGGGCAGGAGGAGGGAGGGAGGGAGGGAGGGGGGAGGGAGGGGCCCAGCGCAGATGCAAGCAATCCGCGCGGAGCGCCAACAATTTGTGCTCATGCCGCTTTTTCTGCTTTCGCTCCTCCTGCCTCCCGTGCCGAGCTTCCCACCCCCCCGTGCTGGGAAGAGCGCGCTGCGCCGAGTCGGCAGGAGTCGAATCGGCAGAGATCGGCAGGCTTGTCGGGCTCCAGAGGGAAACATCGGAGCTCGAATCGGAGTCCCAGGTCGAATCGAATCTAATCGGAAGCCCTCGAAGTCGAATCGAATCGGAGGAATCGGAACGAGTCGAGCGACCCCCCCATGCTGGGCAGAGCGGGCCGCGCCTATCTCGACCAACAGGTCGCTCCGCTCGCAGCACCGCCACAACTGCCGCCAGAAATCCAGGTTCCGCTCGTAGGGCGTGAGGTGCAGCCCCTCCTCCTGCGGAGCAGGCAGCAGCCCAAGTTCTGCGCAAGTTTCCAACGACGCCAACCTGCCTCTCTCCTCGTCCTTCGCTCCTTCCCCTGCCCGCCCCTTTGCGCCGCCAGAATATCACCACATCCACTGCCGCCGGGTCGTGGTCCGAGCACTCGGGGAGCGGTAGATAAACATGGATATCTGCCCACCCACGCGGGGCAAACATCCACATCCGCCGCTCCTCCAGATCTCAGGCACAACTCCGAAGCACAAGGATGTGGACATATTCTGGCGGCTGACCTGGGGAGATCCGAATTCGAATGAATAAGTCGGATCGGCGATCGAAACGAATCGGATCGGCGGAAAATCGCAGCCAAGCAGGGAAAAGTCGAATCGGCGGAAATCTGCAGGCCTGTATGCCTCCAACAAGAAGTGAGAGTCCGAATCGGAATCCCGAGCCGAATCGAATCGGCATCGGCGGCCATGAAAATCGGATCGGACCGAATCGGAGGAATCGAAACGAGCCCTGCCTGGGATGGCGCAGGCAGCCGGAGCACAGCGAGTCGCCCAACGTCGCGCCTCGCGCCGCACGACATGCGGATTTTCCTTCGAACTCCGGCGCCGCCCCCAGAGAGACGAGCACCTCTCTGGTCTCGACTCATGTCGAGCATGTCCTCCCACAGGCGGACTGCAAAGGAAAAAGAACACACTGTCAACAGATGCCCAGCAATAGTCGAACATCTATTCGATCAATCGACCCCAGACTATGTTGTTTACCTAATTTTTGTGTAGAGGGACATTGTTTACCTAATTTTTGTGTAGAGGGACATGCCCGGTTCAAGCCTAGACCACGAAACGCAATCATGTTCGCGCCCTCCAGGCGACCTGCAGCCAGAGTCTCCTCACAACGAAGCACTGGGTCTGGAACACAAGCCCACTCTTTGGCCCCCAAATCCGGCCCATCTCCGGGAGGAACGCCGGGGAACAGATGGACAAAAGGCAAACAAATCCCCCAACGCCTTCCTAGCTGTGAGCGTTTTCTGATCAGCGTTTCGACATCGGGCGGAAAGGGGGGGGAGCGGCTGTTTGGAACCGTGCCTCCTCTCGGAGAGAGGCTCCACCGGCTCGAAACAGGCGCCCCAAACAGCCAAGATCTACTCCATTGGGGGAGGCAGGGAGGGGGGGGGGGTGCGAGGGCCCGCGCCGATCGGCAAAACAATGAATAAAAAACGATCACAGGCTGGAGCCTAGACCACGTTGATTGGCACCCGTTCGTTGGAACCCTGTGAAACCGAACGCCAACTTCTGTTACGGCTCCGACCGACGCACGTCAAGCTCTTCACAACATGCAGCCCCGATGGCCCACCGTTCGCCCCAGGACGCCTACGAGATATTCAAAAGGAGCTCCCCTCCCGCATCCTCCCTCTCCCGCTCCTCCTCCTCCTCCTCCTCTTCCTCCTCCTCGTCCTCTTCCTCCTCCTCCTACTCCTCCACCTCCTCCTCCTCCTCCTCGTCCTCCTCCTCCTCCTCCTCCTCGTCCTCCTCCTCCTCGTCCTCCTCCTCCTCCTCCCCCTCCTCGTCTCCCATCCTCCTCCTGCTCCTCCCCCCTCCCCCATCCCCCCTCCTCCTCTCCTCCTCGTTCCTGTCTCCTCCTCCGCCTCCTCTCCTCCGTCCTCTCCTTCTCCTCCTCCTTCTCCTCCCTCCTCCCTTCCTCCTCTCCTCCTCTCCTCCTCCTCCCCCTAATCCTCCTCGTCCTTCTCCTCCTCCTCCTACTTTTCTTTGTCCTCCTCCCGCTCCCCCTCCTCCTCCTCCTCCCTCTCCTCCCCCTCCCTGTCCCTCCGCTCCTCTCTCTCCTCTCCTCCTCCTCCTCCTCCTCCACCCTCCTCCTCCTCTCCTCCTCCTCCTCCTCCTCCTCCTCCTCCTCCTCCTCCTCCTCCTCCTCCTCCTCCTCCTCCTATCGGAGATTTTCGTCGCCGCTTTGCTGGATATGATGTCAGAACGGGGGGATCTCCACCCTGAAGGATCGGCATCGGGCAGTGCCATCGGGGCAGTAGGGGCATTGGTTCCTGCTGTAACCGACCCTCGAATCGGATAGATTCGTCGCCGTTTTGCTGGACATGATGTCAGAACGGGGGAGTTCCACCCTGAGGGATCGGCGTCGGGCAGTACCATTGGGGCCGTAGGGGCCTTGGTTCCTGATGTAACCGACCCTCGAATCGGATAGATTCGTCGCCGTTTTGCTGGATATGATGCTATGCAGACCAGCGACAGAAACAGTCATAGCGAGGACAGAGCTTCGACGTATGACATCGAGCCCCAGCGCATGAACACCATGGACGACAACGATGCAGACCCCTTCCTAGACTTCCACGGGGGTCCAGTGGACCACGGAGGGGATTCTGAGCAGATCGACCAGGAACCACCAGAGGACCGTCCTGATCCCGAACCACCATCCCAACCAGTCCGACTCCTGCACGATGACCAGGCTCAAGATGCAGGTGAGCCCACCCAAAGCCCCGTAGGCCAACGCCACCGCCAACTCCTCGAGAACATAACGGACACGGTACAACGGATGCGAGCACGAGTCACCACGGACACGGCAGAGGCTGAGCAGATCCTCCTCGACGAGCTCAGCCAGGCACTACACGATATCAGATACCAGCACCAACTACCAACCTTCGACGACGCCCACAGCCTGCTCGACCGATCACGAGCCATAGCCGACGAGCACTCGAAGGCTACCTGGTCGGCATCCCTCCTGGCAGTGCGCGAGTGGGCCCAGCAAGTCTTGCAGGGCAACCAGAAGAACGCCCACCGCTACATCTCCAATGACGAGCGCAGAGACCTGCACGACATGGTGACCCACCAACACCGCGTGATCGGTAACCCGCACGCCAGCGTCGACACCACAGCAGCAATGTGGCACGATCGTTGGCCAACCCACTCGGCAAGTAGCGACCTCTACGACAGCATGCGCGAGCTGCGCACCAAGGCCCAACAACAGCTTGACCACGACTGGGAGCCCAACACCATTGAGGACATGCAGACAGCCCTCCGTGCGATCCCACGCACCACAGCGCAATCCACTGACAAGTGGACTCGAGCGGCACTGCAAGCCACCAGCCAAGAGGCCTAACAATAATTCCCCGACTTCATCAACGCCTGCATCACCAACCTCGCCTGGCCACACCAGTTCATGCAGATCTGGATATGTTTCCAGGCCAAAGGCGATGCCATCGCAGCTGGAGACGAGCGCCCTATCGGCCTCCTACCAATGCCAACGCACGTCTGGGGCCGCATGAACAAGCACATGCTGGGGCAGTGGTGCGAGGAGAAAGCAAGCTTGTGGGACGCAGCCATCAAGGGTTCATCATCTTTGCAAGCGCCCATGTGCACACTCGTCCTAGATGAGGTCTCGGCTGTGAATGGCGACACCAGCGTCGCCACCCTCTTTCTGGACATCATGAAGTTCTACGGCCACGTTATCATCGCCATCTCATGCAGACTTGCGGCCAAGCTGGACTACTCGCCCGTTGTGCTCTACATGTCTTGCCTACTCTACCTCAGCCCGAGGGTGATCAGAGCCCGGGGCGTCTACAGCTCCACGATGATGGCGCCGCACAATGGGCTCCTTGCAGGCTGCACTGAAGCCAACAACATGGCGAGCGCCTACCTCTACGACCTGCTGGACCACGTACACCTCCGACACGCGGGCATCATGATGCGTGAGTTCGCGATGCACTCATGATCCGAGCGGAAGGCCACCCTTCCTTGGTCAAGCATCAGATACGCCGAGGTGCTGCCACTCTGGTTCAATGAATCCATGAACTGGGCCTCAAAGTTTCTGAGACGACCGTGATAGTCGGCCCCGCGGACATCCAGCAGGCGGTCATAAACGCGATCGGTCAGCACGGGGTCTCCATCAAGGCAGCCACCACATCACGCGACCTGGGCTTCGATGCGACAGCGGGGCGCCAACGACGTACACCGACGGCAGCTAAGCGAGCCAAAGCCAAAGCGCGACGAGTTCAACGGACACGACTATTCCAGCGACGCGGAGTGGGACGTCGAGCCACTGCGCGCCTCTACAACACCAACCTTCGAGCCAAGCGCATGTACGACTCTGCGGTCATGGGCCTGCCTGGAAGCAGGGCAAACATTGAAAGGGCTACGGCGGCCACGCTGGCTGGTTTCACGGTTCAAGGACGATGCACGTCCACCAGTCTGCTTCATGTCTATGGAGCGCAAGACCCAGTCGCCCACAACCTACGCCGCAAGTCAAATAATGTTTCACCTTCTGGGTCCAGAACCCGCAGTACCAGGCACGCGTACGCCTTGGATGGGGGGCAGTCTACACGAAGATGAAGACGAAGCGAGCCAGGTCCAAATGGAGATCAGTAACAGGTCCCATGGGAGCCCTCATTGTTGGTCTTGGGGAACTACAATGGGATCTGCGGCAGCCAGACTTGTGGACGGACCCCAGCGGGCACGACTGGATCTACAACCCAGACGACACGGACTTCAACGGCCTCTACGACATGATCAACAGACAGGTCCAAGCCTGCCTCTGGAAGCAAGCAAGCAAGAAGCCATCCTGAAGGCCAAGGCTGCGAACACGGTGGCCAATTACATTCAGCCCACAGGACACTACGATGGATGCGACGGAAGGCCCTTTTCAAAGAAGCGGGCGCCCTCGAGACCTTCCTGACGGGCAGCTGCTGGACGGAGCAGCGCGCCATGCTCGCGGGATACGACAACACATGCCTTTACCCGCGCTGTGGACTGGCCGCAGAAGACCTGCGACATCAATGCTATGGTTGTGCAAAGAACAGAGAAAGCGAACACCCTTGGATCCTCCGATCCCAGGCCCTGGCTGACAAGGCCCAACTTTCCATGGACGAGGAACCCGATCTGTTTGCTTTCTGGTGCCGTGGAATCCTACCGTCCAGGCTCAATGAAGTCCCTGCAGGACCTGTGTGGAATTCTCCCATGGAAATCTAGTTCGTCGACATCCCAGGCCCGACGCCAAGCATCGAGGAATACACCAGCATCTCGGGCGAGGCCCTGAGGACTTCTAGGGCGTATCGCGACGGCTCGGTCAACTCGGCAGACGCTCGGATCGCTAGGGGAGGCTGGGGTGTCGCCCTGGACTTCGACGAAATGCCAGCCCCCGACAGCTACCCAAGTGCGTTCGGAACCATCGATGGAGCCCAGACGGCCCCGTGTGCGGAGTTAGCGGCCCTGCATGTACTACTGCCTCCTCCCCACTCAAGGCCCCCTGGAGATATGGACGGACAACGCGCTTGTACACCGTGGGTGGCATGCACATCAATGGCTGTATCCAAGGGGTACCCACATGCAATGGTGGCAACGAATCAAGCAGGCCATCATCCGGAAAACTGACAGGATTGCACGCGTGACCTTGAAGAAGTGCAACTCGCACCTCGGTGCGGTGAGCCTCGCGATGAGCCCCCCAGCCCTGATATGTCTCACTAGGACACGAACGCGCCGACGCCCTGGCCCAGAGAGGCCTAGCCAAGGCCATGAATGAAATTCAGCCCCAGATGGATAGCCTCCAAGGGTATGAAAGCCTCCTGCAGAGAGTCCAGAAGAGACTCGCGGCCCTCGGAGTGGATTTGTTCCCCTGCCCTGTGTAGAACACCATCGACTTGTCCCCGCGCGAGGATGAGCGAAGATTGCCACACCCCGCAAGGCGCTCGAACGTGTGTCGGACCACTGTATGCAGTGGCACCCCAAGGACAAGAAACGCTGGTTCTGTTTCCACTGTAGTTTAGGCCCCAACCGACAATCGGTCGAGGACTGGATGATGAACAATCCTTGCAGGGGAGGGGGGTTGTCTCAGGTTATAACGTTGCCACTCCCATCCCCGTGAGGTGGGGGGAAAGAGCCCCCACCAGAGCCATTCGTTGTTTATGATGAATGGTCACATCTGGTGGAATTCGTGCGCTCGGCTGGGGAGCTGTACGACCACGGGAGGGGGCAAACTTAACCAACTCCCTGCCCCGTGCCCAGGGGGTATTGCGACGGCCAGTGGCAGGGAGGCAACGCGAAGAATTCGGAACTGCCAACCCCCCAACCATGGGGCCAGTGGGGACCCCATTCGTCCCCTCCAAACCCGTGTAGCCAGGCGGGGGAGCCCAGCAGCGTAGGCTCGGTCCACAGGGCCGCGGCGTGTCATTGCCACGACCGCGCTCCCTCGGAGGGCCGATCCTCCTCCTCCTCCTCCTCCTCCTCCTCCTCCTCCTCCTCCTCTCTCCTCCTCCTCCTCCTCCTCCTCCTCCTCCTCCTCTCTCCTCCCTCCTCCCCCTCTCCTCCTCCCCTCCCCCCCTTCCGCCTCCGCCCCGCCCCCGCCCCCGCCCAGCCTCCGCCTCCGCCTCGGTCTCCTCCTGCTCCTCCTCCTGTTCCTCATCCTCCTCCTTCCGCCTTTCCTCTTGCTCCTCCTCCTGCTCCTCCTCCTGCTCCTCCTCCTGCTCCTCTTGTTCCTCCTCCTCCACCTCCTCTTCCGCCTCCTCAACCTCCTCCTCCTCCTCCTCCTCCTCCTCGTCCTCGTGCTCGTCCTTTGTACCCCTCCTCTGCCAAGCCGCGGGCACAGTATAGCCAGCACCCGACGACCGTCGCCAATGGCGGTGGCCACGGCACGGCGAAACGTAGCCCAAACTGCGGGAAGAGGTTGGGCCGAAGAGGATCAACTCTTAGTGCTGGGGTCGTCGCGAGTAGACGTGAGAAAAAACGGTGGACAGACGCTCTGCTGCAAAGTGCCCGACGTCGTCGGCTACAATACGGTGTCGTGAATACCTGCCTCGCCATGACGAACCCCGTCGCCCAGGAGACGCCCGGGGTAGGAGGGGTATTAATCGCCGCAACCGCCTTTCCCTCGGATCGCTGACGGAGCAGCCCGCGTAATCCACCTATAGGGAGCCTATAGGGAGCCCACGAAGGACATGCGCGCGCAACCATCTACATGAATGCGGCCCCCCAGTCTGCGAAACCAGCCTCCTTTCACGAACGTTCGCACAACACCTACTTCCGAAACCAATGTGGATTCGTGTAGGTATACGTCACTCTTTGTCGCTCCTGATGAGTTCCTGTCCTCAACCTCCTCCATTTCCCGCCTCCCTGCCCCTCCTCGCACCGCCTCGCCCTCCTCGCTCTGCGTCGCCCCCCTCGCTCCTCGACGCCCCTCTCGCCCCCTTGCCCCCTCTATAACGAGGCCAAATTGAAAATAAACGGGCACGGAGAAGTCGAGAATCTCTGAGATCCGGCGGCTCTGGAGGATGTGTCGGGCGGGGCGCGGCCATTTCACAGCGTTCCGGAACACTTTGACAGCCATCCTGATAGCGCTGGAAATGACCGATCCTCGTCGCATCCCCGTCTTCGGGACGCCGAAACCAATGGCGAGGAAAAACCCAAGGAGCAAAGACAACGCCCCCAATGAAGGCCGTCACCACTCAGCCCGTGCGCTGCTCAAAACTACCTTTGGCCTGCGGGCCGCAGCCCCTGATCGCGAGTCGGGTCCTCCTCCTCCTCCTCCTCCTCCTCCTTCTCCTCTTCCTCCTCCCCCTGCAAGGGCGAATCACGTCGTTGCGCAAACGCCACACCCCCTGAGCTTGTCTAGCGATGCGACGCAAATGCAGCCGAACACGACGACCCGGTAGCTCTCCCCCGCCGCGCCCCGGAGCCCGCTCGAAGCGCCGCCCAGCCAGCTTGCCGGCGAGCTCGGCCGCCAGCGCGGCCTGGGCCACGAGCCCGTTCTCCTCGCCGAGCGCGGTCCGCAGCTGGCGCGCGGTGGCGCGGTGGAAAGCCACGCTCAGTTCGGCCTCCCAGCGCCGCGCTGGCGCGCTCGCGGCCGCTTCGGCCTCCAGGCCGTCGCCCAAGCCCTGCGCGCGGTCTCGCGCGAGCCAGCGCAAGTGGCGGAGGGCGGCCCTGCCCAGCCGCCCGGCCGTCACGTGGGCCAGCAGCACGACCGCGCAGGGCGCCTGGCGTTCCGGGTAGCGCCGGCACTTGTCCGCCTCGCCCTCGGCGGCCAGCGCGCCGTCGCCGTCCGCGGCGGCGGCAAAGGCGCGCGCGACCCCCGGAACGCTGTAGCGGACAGCGACGTCCGCCAGCATCTGGGGGCAGTCGCCCCGCTGGGCCTCGAGGTCGAGAAGCGCCTCCTGGCGTTCGGTCTCCAGCGGCCCGCCGCAGGCGCCGCAAGGCCCGCCCGGCGGCGCGTCGGCGCGCGCCAGCCTGAGGCCGGCCCGCCGTGCGCGGCCCGCTCGCGCGTGCGGCAGCAGGCCGCGGCGCAGCGCCAGCGCCAGCGGTCCTCCTCCGCCTCCTCCTCCTCCTCCTCTTCCTCCTCTTTCTCCTCCGCCTCCTCCTCCGCCGCCTTCTCCTCCTCCTCTTCGTCCTCCTTCCTCCTCTCCTCCTCCTCCTCCTCCTCCTCCTCCTCCTCCTCCTCCTCCTCCTCCTCCTCCTCCTCCTCCTGAGAGAGCGCGGACGGCATGCTCCCCCTCAGCCGGGGGCCTCCCCAGGGCTCGTCTGCCATTCGGCCCCCAAGCCGCGTGCCCCACCACGGGGATGGAAGGAGCGAGAGAGAGAGAGGGAACCTCGAGACGGCTTCAGAGGCCTTCAAGAGGGCCCTCGAGAGGGCTTCAGGAGGCCAAAAACATTGATTTCTCTTTGGTTCTTCCTGTTTCTTCAGGTTCTCGACTTTTCGGGCCCAGAAGGGCCCAACCCGGCCCACGAGGCCCCAAAGCTCGTCGGCCCAAAAGCCCTCCCGAAGGGGCCGAGAGAGAGAGAGAGACGGAAAGAGGCAACTGGGTCACTTGGACAGCGTGTCAGGGAGCTGGATACACATGACGTGGCTGGCCTGGGCGAGAGCTGGATACACACCTGGCCACATGTCTTTCCAGCCCTCGGCCCTCGTGTGGCCAGGCGTGGTGATCCTCCACATGTGTATCTAGCATATCGCTCCCAGATGTTCCACTTGTGAATCGGGCCAAGTATGTTCTTAGCTTCCTGGCTTTCTTCCGAGATCAAGGCTGTACGCAATCAATGGCGAGGAAGGGGCCACCCAGGGGCACGAACCATGACAGAAACATAAAAACTTGGAGGTCCGCGCAGATTTCTCGGATCGGCGCTGGACCCCCCTCACTGGCCCGCGGAGCGCGCCAGGGGCCTAAGCGCTGATCCGAGAAATCCGCGCGGACCTCCGAGTTGTTCATGCTTATGTGATTGTTCGTTTCCCTACCAAAGGACCGAGGACACCCCATCCTCCCCCCCTTCTCCCTCCTCCCCCCCCCACCGGGAGCGGTCCTGAGCCGCAAGCGCCAGCCCGCGGCGCCACTCGAGGAACGTGGCCGTCTCGGCAGCTGGGCCCAGGCCGCGCGCACGCACGACGGCGCGCAATCGCGCTCTGAGGCGGTCGCGGGAGGGTAGAACGACGGGGGGCAGGGGGGGAGAAGGGAAAGGGCGGCGGAATGGGAGAACAGAGGGGGGCATGGTGGGGAGGGGTGGGGCCCGGGGATGGGGAAGGCGGAGGGAGGACGAGGAGGAGGAGGAGGAGGAGGAGGAGAAGGAGGAGGAGGAGGAGGAGGAGGAGGAGGGGAGGAGGCGGAGGAGGGCGAGGAGGAGGAGGAGGAGGACGAGGATGAGGAGAAGGAAGGCATGAGGATGAGGAAAAGGAGGAGGAATAGAGGAGGAGAGGCAGCAGCAGCAGGCAGGGAGCAGGAGCAGGAGGAGGAGGTGGAGGAGGAGGAGAGGACAGGGGAGGAGGAGAAGGAGAGGAGGAGGAGGAGGAAGTGGAGGTGGAGGAGGAGGAGGGGGAAGGGGGGATGAGGAGGAGGCGGAGGAGTGAGGTGGAGGAGTGAGGAGAGGAGGAGAAGTTGGAGGAGGGGGAGGAGGGGGAGGAGGAGGAGGAGGAGGACGAGGACGAGGGCGAGCGAGGACGGAGGAGGAGGAGGAGGAGGTGGAGAGGGACGAGATTGGGACAGGAGGAGGAGGAGGAGGAGGAGGAAGAGGAGGTGGATGAGGATGAGGAGGAGGACGAGGAGGAGGAAAAGGAGGAGGAAGAGGAGGAGAGGAGGAGGAGAGGAGGAGGAGAGGAGGAGGTGAGGAGAGGTGAGGAGGTAGCAGGAGGGCAGGAGGAGGAGCGGCGGCGGAGGAGGAGGAGAGGAGGAGGAGGAGGAGGAGGAGGAGAGGGAAAGGAAGGAGGAGGAGGTGGAGGCGGAGGAGGGGGAGGAGGAGGAGGTGGGAGGAGGAGCAGGAGGAGGAGGAAGGAGGACGAGGGAGACAGGATGAGGTTCGAGGGGACGGGGACGAGGTAGGATTGAGGAATGAGGATGAGGAGGAGGAGAGGAGGAGCCAGGAGCGGAGTTGGCGCAGGTGGGAGGAGGTAGGAGGAGGAGGAGGAGGAGGATGAGGAGGAGGAGGAGGAGGAGGAGGAGGGATGGGGGAGGAGGAGTTGGAGGAGGCAGGAGGAGGAGGCGGAGGAGGAGGAGGGGGAGGGGGGGAGGACAAGCTAGGTGCGCTCGCGTCATATCTGACATCCTAGCCCTCCCTCCCATCCCTTACCATGGCGCAGATCCCCTCTCTACTCGCACAGTCGGATGTCGAGCAAGGCAATGATCCCGAAAGGGTACGCGATGCATTGTAGGGCACGGCATGGCATGGCGTAGAAGAGCACCGCAAAGCGTAGTATCAACCGAGCATTGCATTGCATGCCGTTGCATGGCATTGGAAAGGAAGCCAGCGCTGCAGCGGGAGCACGAATCGAAACGAGCGGAAGCACGGAAATGAGGCCAACGCTGCAGCGGAAGCACGATTCGGAACGAGTGGGGCCCGAAAATGACGCCCGCGCCTCAGCGAGAGCAACAGTTCGAACAAATGCAGGCGAAAACCCAACTCTGGGGAACAATACGCGGGGGGGGGTCGGACACTCCCAGGCCGTCATCAGGGGAAGAGGGAGAGTAGTATTCATATTGAAAATTGTGGAGGAGGCGGATGAGGAGGAGGAGGAGGAGGAGGAGGACGAGGACGAGGATGAGGAGGAGGAGGAGGAGGAGGAGGAGG